GGGGGGGGGGGGTGCCAGTGCGGGAGTGGGGAGTCCTGGGAACCCCCGGTGGCGAAGCCGCCAGCCCCAAGCCCAAGCCCTACCCCCAAGGCTAAGACTCCGCCAGCCGGTGGAAAGGTTGCCTGCAGAGCTCCCTGCCATCAGACCACAGGACACTAGTGGCAGTGACCCTCCGCTGTGTGAGGTGCAATTCTGGGGGTTCAGAAGGAGCTGGCGCTCCGCTGAGAACCAGGAATACTGGTAGTTTGAGCCTACGATCAAAATCCGAGCGAATACCCCCATTCCCGCCTGCTGCTTTTGTGTGGGCCACGCGCTTGATTGCACAAGGGCTTCCGAGAGGGAGTCTGGAGCAGAGGCAAGGGACCCAGCAAAGGGCAGAGCCCTGCTGGCCCAGATTCCGCCAGCACCAGGGAAACGGAGGCACCTCCCTGTGCCCTCTACAGAACCGTCCTGGGTGCCGCCCGGGGCTGGGGTTCCCCAGCGGCAGCTCACGGTTAACCTGTCGCTCCATCTCCTCGTACGCAGATGGGGAAGACCAGCACTCAGGACGGCAAACCTCCTGGGACTTCAACCTATGAAAATGTGATCTAGGCTCCTGGACGGCATTCACTCTACGGACACTGAGCTTCCCACATCATGTGTTCCAGCAGATGGCCCAGACCCAGACTCCCTCTGTTCGGATCTTACCTGGAGATAGCAAACCATCACCCCAATACGGGACTTTTCGTGACTGGAGGTGATGACCCTTCCCAGCAACCCCATAGGTAGAAAGGATTGATGTTTCGCGCACCGCCTGGGACGCCCTGACCACGCTCAGTGTCCGGGAGGGGCCCCGGTGCACGGCCTCCACGGTCCACACAGCACCTTGGGCAAATTAGGCAAAAACCCCCTTTTCCGGAGGCGGATACAGCCCCTCCCAAGTGTGTGGCTTGACGAGCAGAGGGTGGGCTGCATTTCAGCCTCCGCTTGCCCCTCTGCCCGGGAACTTTGTGCAGGGGACAGCTGGCTGGACCAGCCCAACCAACCACATGTGACGGTGTCGCCTGGGAAGCCATTGGAGGGGTAGCTGTCCACTGTGCAGACGCACCCTCCAAATGGAGTGTTGGAAAGTGGTCTTTCTGTAGGGACGAGGTGGTCAGGGCATATTTCTTCAGGCTGTACTTCAGAAGCCTCTTCAGCTTTTCTTTCTAGCCAAGCTTTCCACGTGACTGGGCGCTTGAGTGCCCAGAAATTAACATTATTCTAGGGGTATCCACAAGCGTGTTCCTGGATGAGATTAACATTTGGATTGGTAGACCGAGTAAAGTAGGTTAATCCCCACTCCAGTATGGGCGCCCATCACCAAATCCATCAAGAGCCTGGGTAGAAGAAGGCAGAGTAAAGGAGAATTCGTTCTCTCTGCCTGACCGTCTTGGAGCTGGGACATCAGTGCTCCTGCCCTAGGGTTTGGATTTGGATTTGGACTGGAGCTTTCACCGTGAGCTCTCCAGCTGGCTGACTGCAGACCTGGGGATTTCTCAGTCTTCATCACCACACAAGCCAGCTCCTTGTTGTATATATCGCTTTCCTGTTGGTCCCGTTTCTCTGCAGAGCCAGACTAACACCTATTCCAAGCAGCGTCAGCAAGAAGAGACCATACCCAGTATCCTACTGGCCAAAAGGAATTGACTGGCTATATTTCTGGCACTTTAGGAGAACTGAGTACAACCCAACCATCGAAACGATCTCTAGTCAAATTAATCATGGCTTTTTAAAACTCCTTTCCCCCCTTGGTCCTCAGTTCTTTCTGCCCCACAGCATACGTCATTATTTGTTTCCCTCCACACTGTATACGCTTAAGGGCAGGATCCATGACGTCATGACATTAAAGAGTGACCACGAGAGATGAGAGCGTCAGTCACTCGTGCATCCACCGCCCCAAACACCATGCCTTGGGCCCTGATGTGAATAAATGCGACTGAATAGGATTGAAAATGACCGGCCAGCTCAAATGGAAGGTACGTGTTGCAGGTGTGGATAGACGGAAGCCAATACACATGGCGGCATCCGATCATGGCAAGCGTTAAATGTCAGAAGGCAGACGTCAGTGTACGGCCATGGGGGTGGCGGGGAGACTTTCAGAGTTAGACCAACGTACACATGAACTGAAGGAGTGAACCAGGTGTGAGGTGAGAGGCAGTCACCCTAGGGAGACACGTGAAGGAAGAAATAAAGAGACTTGTCCTAAGGATGGAGAAGCCCCAAAGTGACATTCAACGGACCCTAAAATAGAAGCATGTCTCACCTTCACCTGAGTTGAGGGACCCCTCCTGAACGTCGCCCTTCTCTAACCCGCTCCGCCTCTCCCTGGTGCGCTCAGCCAGTCAAATTGCTAGTGTCCTAGAGCCCCCCTGGCGAGTGGGGAAGAAGGAAAAGAGCCAGAGGCCAGAGTCCCTTGGGTCTCCCGTGAGAACACACCGGGAATTCTTCACGTGGCCTTTGGGACTGAGGACCACCGAGCTCCTGTTTCTCACTCTTCCCTTCCTGTGGATCTTCCGATTTATGAAGATGGAAGCTACTCACCCCATCCCTTCAGGGCTCGGTGTTCAGATTCCCCTTCTGTAAAATGGGGGTGATCTTCATTTCCACAGACTTAAGACGAACTAGATTGTGACCGATGGGTCTATGCAACTATTCCTTCGATGGAACGGAATCTCGTATCAAGCCCAGATGGGCCAGCTTTCCCAAATGGGTGTTGAAATTGAAATCTCGGGGTCCCTGGGTGGCTCAGTCGGATGGACATCTGAGGTCGACTCAAGCCATGATCTCCCAGCTCTTGAATTCGAGCCCCACATTGGGCTCTCTGCCATCAGCACAGAGCCCACTTCGGATCCTCTGTCTCCTTCTCTCTCTGCCCCTCCCCTGCTTGCGCGCTCTCTCTCTCTCTCTCTCTCTCAAAAAGAAATTGAAATCTCAGGGGCAGGGCCCCGTAGTGGCCAGAGCAGGTAAGGCAGCACTTCCCCAGGGGCTTGTGGGTCCACGTGGGCCTTTTCTGTAGAGAACTTGAGAAACAATGCAGGGAATGCCTTTCAGAAAAAGAAAGTGAAGCCGATTTAAAACGGGATGTTTTCAAAAAAGCTATAGAATGCTCTAAACTACACAGCCCACACGAGAAGAACTTGACTGGGCCACTTTGGAAAACGGGTAAAGGAAAGGCGACCAACCTGTCTGGCATTTCTCAGATTCAGCCCGGAGAAAAGAAATGGCCGGGCCATAGTTTCTTCCAGATGCATTACTTTTCTTCTGCTTGACTTTTCCCTGAGTCTTTCTTGATTTGAGTAATTTTTTGCAGAATCATTAGTGACAGTCTCTACTGGATGTAAAATGGAGTTTGAAGAAGGAGACAGAAGGAAGAAGGGTATTGACTGGTCCCAAAATGCAGGCTTCCATGCTGGAGCGCCTGCGTCGGCATCCTGGTTTCTTGGTTCTGAGACGTTGGGCAATTTAGGCTCACCTCTCTGGGCCTCAGTTTCCCTGCTTGTAAAATGGGGGTAATAACGGCTCCTACCACATAGGGTTGATGTAGGGACTAAATGAGGCTGCCCTGTAAGAATGTGCCTGCAAATTGTTCTTATAGGCCCAACACCTCCATCAGATGCTAACTCTGTACAACAGGGTTCTTGCAGCACAAATGTAGCCGATATTGTGCTAAATTAGTGTTGTGTGCCGAACTCTTAACTCTCAGCCCTCCCACATCAATGCTTGTTCCTTCCATCATTTTGCTTACCACACTGCCCTCCTCTGCCCCCAGCTCCCCAGCCAGACGACAGAACGGGGCTGGTCCGAATAATAATAATAATGCAAACAGAGAACTCCTGAGGGCCAGAGACCGGGACAGTTCATTAAGGGTTTAGTTTGTGTATCAGCTGCTACACTAGATGCTTTATACCTCATCCAAA